GAGACAAGGTCTCACTGTGTAATCTAGGCTGGCCTTGCACTCAGTTACGTAGCCTAGGATGGCCTTAAACTCCAGATTGTCCTACCTCAGCTTCCCAAATGCTGCTGGGATTACAGGTGCCTGCCTCCAATGCCCAGCTGAAGAAAAAAATAGGTTTTTTTAAATAAAGATAAGTGGTTTAGTTTACTTATCTTGAGAAATTCTGACATTTAGGATCATAAAAGAGGGAAGGAATTTCTTGAAAGTATACTGTATTGATCTTTTATGTCAGAATTTTAACACCCTTGAGAAAGGTTGTTGAAACCTCACTCCATATTTTAAATTTTCTTTAAAGAAAGAAGCCAATTCCTTCATAGGGAAATTGCCCCAAAGGACACAGGTAAGACCCAACATTGGAGGATAAAATAAGCCACTAGAGTGTGAGAGAGGGTTCCAAATGGAAAATTGTTTGTCAGGGAGGAGTCATATTTTCCACTGATAATAAGCGTCATCTATATCAAGTTAAACAACCTTCCTTCCTACCAGGAGGATATTTAAGCTTCAGCCTTCCCCAAAGGACGGAGGAAATATGATTATCGCTGCCTTGGAACAAAGAATGGGGTGCGGGAAGTGGGAATTTAGGTTGAATTCCGGCAATGCCAGGACCTGTCCCAAGCACCCCCCTGGGGGGGGCATCCAGGTGGGGGTAGCGTCTCCAGCGCGTGGGATGGTGCAGAGGGAAGTCTGTGGGGACAACTGTTCAAGGGGAAAAAAAATAGGCGGGAAGGTGAAATGCCACCCCGCACAGGGCAGCTTTTATGCATTCCTTCAGGCCCTGCAGACTTCCATGTTCGCATAAATGGGCCTCTGCTGGGCTGCCAGGCTGGGTCAGAGCAGCAGGCAGGTCACCCAGGCAGCAGAAGCCTCGCAGCCATCCTCCAGGAGAAGCGGCTGACCTGAGCACCGGTCGGCCCTCCAGTCTCCGTACCAGTGTGCACGGCCCTCCTGCTCTGACTGGTGGATCCTTCCCGGACAGACTCGTCACTGAGCCTGTTTATAAGGATTGAAGTTCCTTCTGTTTCATTTTAGCGGAAAGGGTGAACTGCTGCCAGCAGTATGTCTGGAATGTTATTTACTCGATACATTTCTGTGGCTTTTCTTGTAGTGCTGCACATGCTAGAGCCAGGGGTCACTTACTTGAAAATGCTAGGTTGCAGCGTGTCTTCTGGATGGGGCCACTTTCTCAGTAAGGGGGAGCGAGTGCCTGTGCCTCTCAGTTTGCTTGTTCCCTCCTTTCCATCTTCCTTCTCTTCCTTCCTTCTGCCTCCCTTTTTATTTGTTTATTTTTTCTGAGTTGTGATTTGATCGACTGTTGGTGTCTGCTGCATCACACCGTTTGTCCTGAGTGCACCGGCTCTCCCCGTCATTTCTGGGGTTCCTGGTGGACTCTTTAGAGGGCCGGGCAGATGCCTTGTCGTTGGCGTGCCTGGCTTGTTATTCTTTCACACGAAAGCTATCTATTTTGGCAGACGTGGCTCCTGCAATTGCAGTTGAGCTCTCTGAGCTGAATGGGTAATGTTGTGCAAGAGAAATCTAGGTGGGGTTTGCTCTAAGGGTAGCTGCGGGGGCGGACAAAAAATCTGCAAGCAGTCTTGGCTTGTGCAGAGCCGACATGATGGCAAACAAATGGCTTTTGAAAGAAGGAACCAGTGTGTACAGTTTCTTAATATGGAAGGTTTCACAACTGGTTTTGTTCAGTTGATGGAGGAGAGATTTTTAAAGAGCGAATTCTTCATTAGGAAGACCATGAACGAGTCCTGGATAAAGGACGCACGCTGAGGGTGGAGGCAGAGGAGGTGTCCTGTTGGCCTCTTCCTCCAGCCCCCATTCCTCCCATTGCGTCTCTGCAATTTTAATCTTGGTATTTGGGGTTTTAAAAGGAGGTATGGAAAATAAGATTAGATAAATCTCCCCATGTGCTGCCAGCCCCGGGGCCGTGTGCACACCTGGGTGGGTTAACTCCCTGCCTTTCTCCTTCAGCCTGACTTTGTTTTGTCGTGTGAATCCATAAGCACCTACAGATTCCACTGAAAATCTTTGTTTCCCAGACACTTGGCCTTTTCTGGGTCTCCTGGAAGTCTCTCCACTCCTTGGCACCTGTTAGATCGTCAACTCCGTCACCAGCCCCAGCGTGAGATGAAAAATTGTTGGTTCCATTCGTTCTTCTTGGCTTTTCTTGTCTTTCTGCAGGACTCCTCAGTTCGTTTGTGAGCTGCTCTGGCTGTAGCTGAAGGGTCTTCTTTGATCACTCCTTGGGCTTCCCTTTCTCACACCTGCTCTTGTTTTACAGTCCAGATTTCAGAGTAAACGCTTCCAGTGCCTTGTAATTTTTTCAGTATAAAACTTCGGCACAGGTTACTTATTACAGGTAACAGCCACTTGATGATGGAGACAACTGCTGGGCAGAAACATAAACTGCCATTTTATTTAGGTCTAAAAGCATCTCAGCCACAGGTCTGTCAGTCATGATCTGGCATGCACACGATAATAATAGGCTCTCCCGGCTAAGAAAGCCACCCCACGGGGCAGCCATGAGGACAGGCTCTAACAAGACTCCAATGTTTTCTCTCCCATTATCCGCAGCCCACACATCATCTTCCTGTCCCAGAGCACCTTGACAGGCGGGAGCCATCTCTGCGGGACCCGGCTCTGCCATGAAATCGCTCACGCCTGGTTTGGCCTAGCCATCGGAGCCCGTGACTGGACAGAGGAATGGCTCAGTGAAGGGTTCGCCACTCACTTGGAAGATGTGTTCTGGGCTGAGGCACAGCAGGTGGGTTTAATGTGACCCTAAGTATTCCCTCCCGTGGGTCAGGTTCCATTCAAGTCCTTCATTCATCCAACAGATACGTGCTGCATGCCCTAGGCTGTTTTTGCTGGGGAGCTGCTGGATAACCAGAAAAGGAAGCCCCTTTCTCCTGTGTTCACAGCCTAGAGATAGGCGAGAGAATAGACAAGCAAAGCAGTAACATGCAGGTAGGGAAGCGTACTGTGAATGAAAATGAGGTCGGTGGAGACCGGAGGGGAGGGAAAGGAGAGCTCTTTTAAAAAGTGCTCCGAGAAGGCCTCTGATGAGGACACCCTAGAGCAGAACTAAAGTAAAGGTTATATGTACACATTCCTTTGTCTTTATGGTGGTGGTAGTATTGTGTGTGTGTGTGTTTTAAATGAGCAAATTAAAATGTAAATGAGGAGTCATAAGCTCAGATGTGGGCTGCTCCTGAGTAAGGAGTAAAGGTTGAGGCAGTTGGGGCAATAGATTAGGGCTTTCTGAGGTCTGTGGCAAACTGGCAGCTGCCACTCAGCTCTACCCAATTGTTCTCATATTAGAGGGCCTATTAACAGAGCCTAGACTTTTATTTTTATTTATTTATTTTTTTGGTACTGGGGATCGAACTCGGGCCCTTGGTGCTTGTGAGGCAGGTGGCGGAACCACTAAGCCAAATCCCTGGCCCTAGACTTTTTTTTTTTTGTCTTTTCTTTTCTTTTGAGACAGGGTCTCACTATGTAGTTGAGACTGACCTGGAACTCACTATGTAGCCCAGGCTGGTCTCGAACTCACAGCAATCCTCCTGCCTCAGCCTCCCGAGTGCTGGGATTACAGGCATGTCCACCATGCCTGGCTGATTTGGTTTTTTAAGGAAATCCATAAATCTAGATTTTCATGTGGTGTTTACTGATTTAAATAATACCACACAAATCAGGGGCTGGGGATGTAGCTCAGTGGTACTATGTGTGCTTAGCAAATGTGAGGCCTTAGGTTCAATGCCCAGCCCCTCCCAACAGAATACATGTATATATACACATGAAAGTACCCAGAGCCCAGACCCATTCCACACACAGCTGTTTGGTAACCTATACTTTAGAGAGTTGGCCACCATTTCTAGTGAGGATGTGGCAGCTTAACTGCTTCCTGCTCACTTTCCAGTTAGAGTAGTAATACTTGGGTCACTTCTTTTGTGTGCTATCCCTGTTCTTACACATTGGACTATTTGACATTTTCTAAAACTGCCAGCTTTGCACATACTTGGATGATGTTGCTCACGATGATTCTGCCTGTTGAAATCCTGTGACATTTCACTCCCTAGCTGGAGGTGCCTTTTCCAGATAGCCCAGACTGGCCATTCCTCTCACAATTCTTATTACTATTCTTCTGCAGTTACTGCAATGTTTGCTGCTTACCTGTTTTTCTTCTTACTTACGCTGTGTTCTTCCTTTACCCTCACAGATCTGACTCTGCCCTCTTTCAAAGCACAGCTGTCTCTCATTGTCCTTCTGTCCTCTTCAGACTATGGTGGTCAGCTAGCAGGGCGCACATCTGTCTGGTCGATGTGGAGGCTGGCTTCTGAGCTTCGAGTCTCAGTTCTGCCATTGCCCGGTATTCTGAGGATAGGTAGGATATGTACAGTAGCTTCCCGAGCCCCAGCTTCTGGATATAACCTTATATGGTGAATGGACCGATGTGTGAGTGCACTTAGCACATGCCAGACACATGGAAAATGAGCAAGAAACGCCTGTTCTCACCCTCTGGATGCCCACCATCTTGCACTTGGTGGTCATTTAGCGGTGTAGTGTGGCACTGTCACGGTCTTTGAGACAGGCTGGTTCTATTCTTGGCAACTGCAAGTGTATTTCTGATACATAATAATATCTCTGTCCTTTATCTCCTATGAGAGTTCCTCTCTGTCTCTCCTTTCTTTCCTCCTCCTCTTCCTCCTTCTTTTCTTCTTGTCTTCTTTTTTGAGATAGGATCTCACTCTGTAGTACAGGCTGGCCTCCTGAGTGCTGGAATTACAGGCATGCACCACAAGAGCTCCCTCTTTGCCCCTTCCCCTGCCCACACTCCTTCGTCTCCTCCCTAGGTTCCTGATCTGACTGCCCTGAGCACATTGACCTACTGTAGACGCTGACCTCACAGCCGTGTACTTTCTGTGATCATTCTGTGCTCCATGCGAAGCAACAAAAGGCTGAGGATGAGACAAGCCCTCAGTGGAAGGAGGGAGAAAATAAATTTGAAAAGAGAGGTGAACCCCAGATCTTGTGTGAGTTCGGAGGTGGGAAAGGCCAAGTCTGAAGGCCTTGGAGGAGTTGACGTCTGCTGGCCTGAGGGAAAGCAGGAGTACACCTTCCTCCATTTCCCATTCACCCTTTCCCTCCACGGGGGTCGGCCCACGTCAAGATGTGAATACACAAATGTGCCTCAGGCAAAGTGGCCCTTCTAGGTCCCAGCACCGACTCTGACAGCACTTCTGGGGTGTCCACCACTGACCCCTTCCTCTCAGGACCGGACTGGGATGGTGCTGGTCCCTGATAAGTGCCTGCTTCAGACCTCCATTGGGGAGGAGGACTCTGTGCGGTGCTGATGACGCTGCTCAGAAGCAGCTCCACCAGCAAAGAGGACATAAGGATGTGCTAGTGGCCGGGGCTGTTTCAGTCACCTTGTTGCTGGGGAGGCTCTGCTCTGTAGCACTGTGTTTCAGAAAGCACAGCAAGTAGGAAAGTGTGAAATCCTGAATCAGGACGTGGGGCCCAGCATCCCGTCAGCGTGCCGTTCTGCAAGACAAGTGAGCAAGGTTGAACTGTATAACTCGTCATCAGCCTGGACAAAGCCTAACCACTTCAAAAATGTATTAGTCTGCTCAGGCTGCCATAGCCAAATACCACAGACTGGTGGCTTCAACAACGGGCATTTATTTTCTCATAGTTCTAAAGGCTGAAAAATCTAAGGTCTATGTATTGTCAGTGTTGGCTTGTGGCTTCAGTCTCTTGTCCCCTGTGCTCCCTCTCCTCTGTGCTTGAGGACTGGAATGATCACCAGTGTCTCTTCCTTTCTTTTTGTTTTTTTTTGGTACCAGGGATTGACCTTGAGTCCCTGTGCTTACAACACAAGTGGTGGAACCGCTGAGCTAAATCCCTGGCCCTCTTCCTTTCTTTATAAACCACAGTTCTTCAGGGTTAGGGCCTCACTCTCCTGGCCTCATTCAACCGGAATCACCACAGCTTCTGTCTCCAAATGCTGTCACCCTGGGGTTAGGTCTTCACATACAGATGAGGGCCGGGGAGATCTTGTGTGATAGAAACAGTAAGCACCCAAAGTCATTGTTCATCTGGTCTGGGCTGGCCTCTCAGCGCCTCGCTCCCTCCCTAGATGAGTGAGCTCCTAACCTGACCACATCCCTCAGGACGTTTTTGGCCTGCTCCTGCTTTCCCTGAGGAAAGCTTAGATATCACCATCTCCGCAAGGCCTTCTGATCCCCCTGGTCGGCAAGGGGGCCCCTACTTCCACCTTGACCTCTGCACCCCCCACTCTATTGTTAGGGTCTTTACCCCACATCCCAGAGCTCTATCCATAATGTCCCCAGGGCCAGCAGAGACTCAGTAGGAATCTATTGAATGAATTGTTAAAAGTAGTTTGGTTTCCTGTAGACTTGGGTGCTTTCCTTCCTTGACAGTTCTACAGCTATCCACAGAGCAAGGGGGGAGTCTAACTTAGTCGCAGAGTGTGATGTCCTTCCTGCCTCCAAACTGAGTCCAGGCAGGACACTGTTTCTGGTTATATGCAAAGAGCATCATCTGGGTTGCATTAACAGGCTCCACAAAAACAGACCCTACCCAAATTGAGGGCTGGGAAAACAGGAGGAAAATGGAGAGGCCTTCCCCACTCTGTGCAGGAAGACAGAGCAGGAAAGGAGGGTGGGCTTAAAGTGGAGATGCCCCCGGGGAGCCCCTCTCTCCAGGCCAGGTGTGTGCTGAGGGGTGGGTTCCAGGACCCAAGACCCCTCCCCAGCAGGCAGGCCCAGCCCCACCCACCAGCTCAAGAGCTGGCAGTTTGTTCTTCACGGGAGGAGCAGAGGTTCCAGGGGCCCTTTCCTTTTCTAAGGAGGAGCCAGGTGGAAGCAGGGGGTAGGGCTGACCAAGACAATGACTGTATTTTGTGCACTCGTGTTGGTGTGTCTGTGCCCAAGCAGCTGGCCCCCCATGAGGCCCAGGAGCGGCACGAGCTGAGGGCCTGCCTGCGCTGGCACCGCCTCTGGGACGAGCTGCGGAACTCCCCCGAGGAGATGCAGGTGTTAAGGTAAAGTGCATCTGTGCGTCTCTCACCTCCCCACCCCTTCTTTCTTTCCAGACACATCCAGGCCTTTTGATTAAATCCGATGTGTTTCCTTTTAAAATCAAATCAGGCTGGGGGTTACTCATCCTCCTGGGGATGTGATTGTTATGTTTTAAGTCTTTCAGGGTGTGGGTTTTGATTTGCCTTCTGACATTTTACTGGTGTCTCTATTCAGGAAAAAACTAGCATGAGGCCATTTCCGGGACCAAATTCTTTGTTTGAAGTTCTAATAGTCACTTTATGTGGTGGCTGAAGACGTGGAGAAGGTTGAGGTTTGGCAGCCTGGCAGACAGTAACCCTTTAAAGCCATAGGAAAAAGTCTTTAGGAAAATACTGATTCCTAAGTGTTTAGTAGTAACAGATGTGCTTTGTCAAAAGGGCCTTTTGTTTCAGTGTAGCCCAGCAGGAAGCCACTGCCCCTCTCTGGCGTATAGTAGGAGGATTCCACCCCAAGCTCCTGAGTTTTGTTTTTAGAGTGTGGCTTGTGGCACTTGTAAGATTATTTCTTGCCATTTTCCTGGTTTTTTCATCCCTCTACGCTCTATTTTTTCACTACTCTAAAGAGCTGTTTATCTGAAGACCTGAGCCTAGGCCCCAAGAACACAGAGGTTGCTGTGTCAACAGAATCTTCCATCCAGACCTCTCTGGCTAGAGTCTAGTGTTTGGAACTTGTAACCAGCCAGTTGGGAAGGTGTAGGCCATCCAGAAATTGCCTCTTCTCCACATCCCATTTTAAATGGCTTCCCTGGGCAGAGGCCTGCCACAGAAGGCTCTATTGTTGTGGAGTTTTTATTTTCTTTTGTTTTTGAGACAGGGTCTTGATTTGTAGTGCAGGCTATCCTTGAACTTGAGGCAATCCTTGCCTCAACTGCCCAAATGCTGAGATTACAGGTATGTGCAACCATGCCAGCCTCCTATAGTGGTTTGGTTTTAGAAGAGCACCTCCTCCTCCTGCTCGGGGCCAGTGAGCACCAGAAGGCAGACCGCAAGCTGGGCCCCAGGGAGCAGGCTGCCTGGTGCTTTTGTGCGGTCCTGTGCCCTGCCCATGGTGAAGTTCCTGTTCTTGCACACAAATGTGCCTCCCACGCTGACTCATCCATTGTTCAGGAGAGGCAGCTGGAGCAGAGGTGAGACCACTGGGCTGGCCGCGGGGAGACCTGCAGTCCTGCCCCATGGGCGCTGCCCCAGCCAGTGTTTACAGAGCCAGGCAGGACGCTTCCCGTTAGCCAGTGGGGATGCGGTCCCTGCTCTCACGGAGCTGCTTCTTAGTGAGGATACTGTTGTGCGCACAAGCGGGTCAGACAGTGAACAGAACCGCGCAGCACTCAAGACTGAGCTGGCCATGTCCTCAGCCTGGCAGAGCGTGGAATATAAAGGCCCTGAGGCAGGAAACAGCTGTGATGTGCTTTGGAGACGGAAAGCAGGGCAGGCTTTAAGTGTTTCCCCTGCGTTGTTTTCCAGCAGTTTCAAAATTTAAGCCATAGGCATAAGCAAAGACTTCCTGACTAGGACTCCACAGAACAGGAAATAAGGTCGAGAATCAATTCATGGGATTACATCAAATTAAAAAGCTCCTATAAATAAAAAGGAAACAGCAGAGTGAAGAGAAAATGTAAGAAAGGGAAGAAATGTTTGCTAGCTACTCCTCTGGTAAAAGATTAATATCTGGAATATATAAACAACTCAGAAAATTAGCCACTCTTGACCCAATGAAATAATGGGCAAATGAATTGAATATATACTTCTCAAAAGAAGAAATACAAGTGGCCAGTGAGTATATGAGAAAACATTCATCATCTTTAGCCATTAGGAGATGCAGTTCAAGACTACACTGAGACTTCATCTCACACTGGTCAGAATGGCTATGATAAAGAATGCAGTAAACAATGAATACAGGGGCTGGGCGTGGTGGCACAGGCCTGTAATCCCAGAACTCAGGAGGCTGAGGCAGGAGGATCACTATGAGTTCCAGACCAGCCTGGGCTATGCAGTGAGTTCCAGGTCAGTCTCACTACATAGTGAGACCTTGTCTCAAAAAAACCAAAACAAACAAATAAAACAAAACAAAAACCAATGAATGCAGGTAAGGGTGGGGCAGGTTGGGGGAAGGAACTGTCCTGCCCTGTTGGTGGGAATATAAACTAGTAAAACTGCTATTAAATCAGCATGTACATTCCTCAAAAAAACTAAAAATAGAAACACCAATTAAATATTCACTCCTGTGTATATTCCCAAGAAGGATTAAAAACATCATAGCAACACATACAGTACATACCCATGTTCACAGTGACAATTCACAGTAGCCAGGATGTGGAAATAGCCTAGATGCCTGTCAGTAGATGAATGTGGTGTGTGTGTGTGTATCCGTACGGTGGGGTGTTATTCAGTCGTAAAGTATGAAATCGTGTTATCTGCAGGAAAATGGATGGAACTGGAGAAATAAGCCTGACCTGGAGGGTTAAATGTTACCGGTTTCCCCCTGTATCAAAAACCAAAATATAAAGAAATTAATGAATAGAAAAGGAGAAGAGATGAAGGAAACTTGGAAGTAGACTCGTGGAGATGGGGAAGGGGATTCAGGAGGGAGAAGTGGGAGAGGGATTAAAAATGATTAAGAAGATATGTTGTATGCACATATCATTTTCCCAGAATGAACATCACTGTTCTGTATTTCAAACATGCACTAATAAAAAACAAATAAAGCCGGGCGTGGTGGCGCACACCTGTAACCCCAGCACTTGGGAGGCTGAGGCAGGACGATCGCTGGGAGTTTGAGACCAACCTGGGCTACCTAGTGAGTTCCAGGTCAGTCTCAACTACATAGTGAGACCCTGTCTCAAAAAAACCAAAAAACAAACATCAACAAAAAAACCAAATAAAAATAAAGGGGGACAGAACCCTAAGAGACAGGCAAGAGGCAGGGTGGACACAGGAGTCTTACTCCAAGTCCTACAGGAACCGTCGTGTAGTCTTTGTAGGGAAGGAGCCTCATCCCGCAGTGTATCTTAAGGCTGCTCTGCTCTGATAGCTTGGCTGCAGGCAGCACACGGAGCAGGAGGAGAGCTGGAGTGTTGTCCACACAAGAGGTCCCGGTGAGAGCAGCCACAGAGAATGCATAAACCGACCGATCGGAGATGTGCTTCTGTGGGTTTTTGTTCAGCTGATTATGGAGAAGTTTTTGTTCAACTAAATATGAGAATAACCAGAATGACTTCTGGATTTTTTTAGTTAAGCAGTTGGGGAAGTGGTGATGGAATTTTTTGAGATGTAAAGACTTTGGGAAGAAAGGCCTTGGAGGGAATAATAAAGATTCTAGTTTTACCTGTGCTAAGTTTGAGATGTCAAATCTCTATCTGTGATTTAAGAACTCATTGGAGTGTACAAGGTAAAGGCTCATTGGAACAATCAGCCTACAAAACACGTAAACATCTGAGCATGTCGAAATCACCAGGAAGGCAAGAGAATAGATTGGGAGGAAAATGAAGAGCCAGCAAGAGATCTCAGGGAGATCAGTGTGTGCATGTGTGTGTGTGTGCGTGTGTGTGGTGGGGACCTGGGCTTGGGATCATGAGGAAAAGAAGGCAAAAAGATGAGAGTGGTCCACAGCTGATGCTGCCGAGAGGCGTGTGAAGGGATGAGGGAGAGATGACCTTCAGGGGGCGCCACCCGAAAGATGTCGGTGACCTGGGAATTCCTGTGCTTATTTGTGAGTGGTTGAGAAGCCAGATTGAAGGGGAAGAGTGAATGGGTATTCAGTGTGAACTTAGTGGGGGAGGCTGAGCTGGCTCAGGCAGGCCACAGAGGGAGGCGGCAGTGAGAGAAGTTTGCTGTAGGGCGGGGCACCCAGGAGCGTGCTAACGCGTGAGCCGTGTGTGTGGGTGTGCGAGTGTGTGTGTGAGACTCAATTTCTCAAGCAAAAATGTCCATCTCCCTTCTCTGTGTCCCTAAGTCCTTTTCAAGCCTGTGGCTCCACCTGACCCTCGTCCCCTGCTGGTGGTAGTGGGGTGTGTGTGTGTGTGTGTGTGTGTGTGTGTGTGTGTGTGTGTGTGTAGGGGAGGAGGGCATCATAAAGAATAGGAGTGGATGAAATGTGATTCCAGCTTGGAAGCAAGTTAGTCTGCCCCTCTGGGAAGTTAGTTCAAGTGTGAGAGACCCTCAACCCAGGCTTCCCTGGAGCTGCTGTTGGCCCACTTTTAGATCATCCAGTTCTTTTCCTTTTGTGTGTAGAGAGTTAGGAGAGAGAATATACTATTTTTAGACCTTTATGCTAGAAGGCTTATTACGACATTTGTTTTTCTTTGTTTTAATATTCAGAAATTGTGTTTGCCTAAACTTAGGCTCACCATGAAGCAACTGCATTTGAAAGACTTTCACATCAATATGGAAAATATTCTTATCAGATGTGCTTTTACAATGAGGAAGAAAATGTTTCCAGACCTGCCCTTAGTTGCACAGTTCAGGTTTAGTTTACTCCCATACCTTAGAATTCTCCTTTAGATGGGTACAGAGAATGCAGAAATTACTGAAAAAGGAAGAACCAGAGTTGTAAAAATTTGTTTTCAATGTTTTTATATACAAATGAGATCTGAGAAACTAGTCCTTTAAACAGCGCAGTGCTCAGAGCTACTGCCCTTTTCCCTTTGTTTCTTTCCAGATAAACAAACCAGGGTCTCCAAGCAGTGAACCAAGAGCAGTGCAGAAGTCATGGTGTGTCTTGTTAGGTTGCCCCACGTTTGCCAAAACTCTTACGGTCTTCGTAGCAGCTTTCACTGCGGGTAACCCCTTCCTCCTTCTAAAAACACTTTCTTTTCTCATCTTCTGTGTCACAATCTCCTTGACTTCCTGCTATTTCACTGGCCACCCCTTCCTCACCTTTCTTGCTGGCAGTTTAATATCATCACTTAAATGGCTTGAGGCTCAGCAGACTGAATAGCATATCCAACAACATACAGCTGGTAAAGAAGACTGTGAACACAGTGGTGCACGCCTGTAATCCCAGCTACTCAGGAGGCCCACGCCCTCACTGGACAACTTAGTGAGACCTCCTCTCAAAATGGAATTTTAATAAATGGGCTGGAATGGAGCTCAGTGGCAGAGCACTTGCTTAGTATTTGGGGCTTTGGGATTAATCCTCTGTACTAAAAATAAAACAGGCATTGAAACCCAAGGAACTAGCCTCTTTTCCTTATACCACACTTCTTCCTGCCTTCAAGAAACTCATTATAGCTGGGGATTTAGCTCGGTGGTTCTACCGCCTGCCTCACAAGCGAAAGGTCCTGAGTTCGATCCCTGGTACAAAAAAAGAAAGAAAGAAAAAAAGAAACTCATTATAGCATTTTACTGCGCCCCCCAAAGAAAAGAAATTGAATTCTTGAAGGTCACACAATAAGTCTGACCAGGCATCTTTGTATTTTTTTTTCTTTTTTTTTTTGTACAGGAATTGAACTCAGGACCTCACAAGGCAGGCACAGCACCACTGAGCTAAATTTGCAGGTTCATCTTTGTCTTTTATTTTTTATTTTTTGGTACTGGGGATCGAACTCATCTTTGTCTTTTAACATATAAAGTCATATGTCTTATTTCAGAAGGTACTGGGAATAAAGAAAACTACATTCTGTAACAGACTGTGGATACAGGAGCGTTAGCAAAACAAGAAGAGAGAAATTAAATTTTGTTTGGCTCATCCTCCTAAATTTCAGTAACTTATAAGAACTTTCCTTCCTAGATACTGCCTTCCTTAATCCAGGGCTGAATCATGGGTCTCATCAAATGTGTCTTAGACCAACTTGGTTTTGAATTTCACTTGGTTAGAGCAGTTTTCTGTTTTTCTGGGTGGCCTGCGATGTGGCTTCAGGCTCCTGAGGCAGGGTGATTTGCTTGGAGCTGCAAAACGTTAGGGGTGACATTAATGACTCCGTGCATTTTCTCATTAGTTATTAAAGATGTCTTCTTCAGAGGTGAGACCTCAGTGGCTCTCTGCAGGCTCCCCTCACCTCTCCACAGTGCAGCTGTTGTGATCACCGGCCTGGCCTCCTCCGAGGATCTCGCGTCTGTTGTCTGCCTCATCCCCGCCTCTACAGCTCCCCTCTGGACCAGTGCAGCCACGTGGCTCTTGCCAGAGAAGATCCAAGGGCTCACACAAGGCCTCCACGCCTCTTGTCCACAGCCGGCAGCTTCTTTAAGTACCTTCAGTTAGCGTTTTCTGACAGGTCTCTTGGGATGGAAGTGCTATGATGACCGCGTCAAGAAATCTCTGTTGGTGGTTATTGTTTGTGATTTATTATCGCTTCCTCTTTTTCTCTGGGTTCATTGTTAAAGTCAACCTCACACTGAGAAAAATGTTAAAATATATCATGTTAAGGAGGCGCTGACAGGCCGGAGTTTAATGTAGCTCTTTCTCTTAGCTGCCGTGGCCACAGTTACGACAGTATAGTGCTAGAGGGACGCCGATTTCTTTCCCTGCCTTTCCCACAAGTGCCTCACCCTCTGTTCACAAACGTGCTCCATCATCATAGGGAACCCTGCCCAAATGTGTCGCTCTACCCATAGCCCAGGGAAACTTTCTCTCTCCCCTGACTGCTTGGTGCTCAGGTGCTACTCTGCCAGTCTTCATATAGCTAAAGACATGTTCTGGGTCCATCGCTGGAGCCAGGCTGAAATGCCCTGCGGCGGACTGTAGAACTCACCCATCAGGAGGAGGAAGAGGCCCTGGGAGGATGGCCTTCTTTGTCACTGTGGACCAGGCCCTGGCCCTTTTCGTGCCGTTAGGAGGTACTTGTTCGCTTAGGGATTCCAGTAGCCTAGCAGCCGTGACAAAGCCGAGAACAGCTGTGAGATGCCTTGATTTGTCAGGGAGCACTATGGCGCCCTCTCTCTGATGGGCAAAGCCGGGTCGGGTCTTGTTGCTCTCCGAGAAGCGCAGGTGGTCCCTTCTAATTATCTTCATGGAAGCCAACTATATCCTTATGTTTTAATATAGCACTTGTTCCTGAATCTAACTAGCTATATATTTATTGATTAATGCATCTTATGTTTAAGTTAAAAGCCTACAGGCTTCAACTAATTTAAAGAACAGCCTGATGATTAAAGGGGAAAGTCTTTGTTTCATCCACTTTGGTCAGGCAGACTTCAAAAGTACCACCCACCTGTAGTCTTCTCTGCTAGGTCCTTGCTCCCCGTCACCTGTCATCCGCAGCCTCCTCTTTGGTCTCCTTCTGCCTACCTGGTACATACGCTCACGTCTGCCCCGTCTTTAATGATCTCTCCTTGGAACACTGCATCTTCATCTAATCATCAAAACTCTTGCTGTCCCCAGCCTCACTCGTGCAGCTCACAAACTCCCAGCCCTCTGGAATTTGCTTGCTGCCCTTTCAGCACTTTTTTCCCCCAGACTCCTTGTGCTCTTTCTATCTCCAGATTCTGTAACTACATTCCATTCCTATGTGATTGCATCCTCTGCTTTGTTTGCTGCTATTGACAACTCCTGTATATTTCTATCACCTGGCTTTTGTGGAAGTCCTTCTACTGGCTCTCGTTGTCTCTGTTGGTTTTACCTCACAATTATTTCCCCAACTTGACCCTTCTTCTCCATCTCTGTGGCCACTGTGTTTAGAATTTCTTTATCCATGCTTGCACCAATCCAACAGCCCCTGAATTGTTTACCTACCTCAAGTCTTGCCCTTTCTCACTGCCACAGGGAGCTGTCTTTAAAACTTAATGATTCTGCCACCTCCTGCCTTACAACACTCCAAAATCTTCCCCATGGCGTCAGAAAAAGCTTCAAGTTCCTCAGAATGGCATGCAAGGCCTCACATGCCATCTATTCAATCTGTTTTTCCTTATCTCTTCTCTTGGTATTCTTTTTTTTACCCTCCACCCACCTGAATTGCTCACAGAAGCCTTCTGTATTCATCCGCTCAGGCTGCCATAACAGAATATCAAAGACTCAGTGACTTCAACAACAAAACTTGATTTTCTAACAGTTCTACAGGCTTGAAGACCAGAGTGTTGACAAGTTTGCTTTCTTCTGAGCCCCTCTCCTTGGCCTGCAGCAGGTTTTTTCCTCCTATTCCCTCATGTGGTTTTCCTCTGTGTGTATTCCTATATCTCTCTGTTCCAGACTCCTCCTCGTATAAGGACAGTAGTTAGATTGGGTTATAGCTTATCCTGACAGCCTCATCCTTATACAAGCTAGTCTCTCTCTTCTGCCCTTCCTAGAGTTTCTTGTGTTAAGTCCATGACAATTTTACTACTTTGAGTCACATTAAACAAATAATATTTTATTATTTCTGACCTATAAAACAAAAAATTTCATACGGTCCAAGCTAATACATCTTTCTTCTGACCCATCAGCCTTTTATACCTAGGAATTATTTTTTATCTGTACCACAGTACTTGGCACTAGGTGGGTATTTGGCAAATGCTGAAGAAATGAATTTTGTAGATGTGCTCTCTATCCCTGAAAATCTTTGTATATTATTTGGAGAGTTGAAATATTGATCACAAGACAGCAGAGAGATCCTATTTTAAGATCTGAGAGTTTAATATTGGAAGGCTTAGGAGGGGCCATAGCGACAAATGGGGTTTGAGCTGGACTTATAGAAAAGAACAGCGGTGAGGTTGATGTTGGGGTTGGGGAGGGGAAGTGAAGGAGCAGACCTATCAGCATCCAAATGGACATTCCAGGAAGAATGGGCTTGCAGCAGAGGATACTCTCATCAGCAACCTAGGAGGACAGGCTTAGCAATGGAGTTCCGAAGATGTCAGAGTCAGGAGTTGCATCTGACCATCCTCACACTGGGGAGCTATTTTAAATTCCAAGAATGACATAATGAAAATGGAGTACTGGAAAGATTACCCAGCCTTTGGGATAACACATGACCAAAGCGAAAGCATCTAGAGGCCAGGTGGAATTAGGTGGCTGTTTCAGGAATGCAGGCTGAGTTCAGAAGAGCTTGGTTGGCTTGAGGCTCTGAACGAGTGAGCTGCTCCTTTGGTGCTATTCAGAACAGATTGCCAACCCAGCTTCAGAGAGGCTCAAGTCATACAACGTGAAGCTTTCTCTAATTGTGTATAAGCGTTGACTCAGTAAAAGAACTGATTCTAGCCCTGGACTTCATGAAGTTTGCTGTGGCTTTGGAAAGAGTGAAAGGCAACAGCCCCCCCCATTTGTCCTTGGCCAAGGTCTGGTCCATCCTGCCTCATTTTAGACATCATCTGAGGATAGAGGCCTGAGCTCTGCACCAGACCTTGTTGGACTGTGAAGTCTCCAACCGGAATAGTAACAGGGGTTATCAGAAGAGTAAGCCTATAATTGACAATGTGAAATAGGAAGAAAAGGGCTAAAGATGTAGGGGAAGTTGGAAGGGTAGGGGAAAGGAAATAAGGGAAAAGAAAAAAAATATGAGAAAATGAAAAAATGGAAATAAAGTTTTTGTAAATAGGGAAGGGAGGAGGGGGTGAAGGGGGAAGGGCAGGGACAAGGGGAAAAAATGAGAACCAAGACCTGTCATGTAAAGGTACAGGATCCCAGTGATGAATGTAGTGGTACTGTATACCTAAAATGTACCAATAAACTCAATGAGAAAAAAAAAAAGTAAGCCTGGAAGCCAAACTGCCTGGATATGAGCCTTGGCTCTACTGTTTGCTACATGGCCTTGCAAGAGCTGCTCAACCACGCTTAGCTTTAGCCCCAAGAGCTGAAAACCAGGATTAATAATGCAGTATAGTTTCTACCTTGTAGATGAGTGAGAAGAATAAATGCAGTGAATATGTGCAAATCATTTAAAGCACATATATTGACTTGAATCATAGGAAGTTGCCATTGTCGTAGATCTAAATGAGTATTGCCCGTTTCCCCGGGTTCAAGGAAATACTCAGCATATGTTAGATGCTGTCGCTTGGCAAACGTCTGTCACACTAGTGGCAGAGGACATGAGGACACAGTCTCCACAGCCAGCCCCACTCTCCTTGCTGGCTTTTCTGGCGTTCTGAGTGCTTCCTTCCCGCTTGTCCCTGAGTCTTAGGGCTGGCTCCTCTTTTCTCTTACTGCTGCCTTTGCCCCCTGGAGACTGCACAGGGCATACTGTTTTTTTTATCTTTCCATCCCAAACCTAGAGTTACCTCCTCTCTTCCTGGAAAACATGACAGCGACGAGGAGAAAAATGTTCTTACCTTTGTGTCCTTCAAGAGTCCTCCTCTGAGCGTTGGACTGTTGACACTGACCTGTGCCTTTTCAGAAGTTCCTGCTGCTGTGTCTTGGAATTCCTGTCGTGGACCCCCTGTCTCTCAGGCCCTCCGCCTCTTTCTTCCTGTCTAGTTTTCTTTATTTAAATCACATACACGAACAAGCTATCTGTGAAGAATGTTACTACCCTTTCATGGTGGGAAAGCGCTATCCCTGTGCCAGCATTTTCTGAAAAATGTTATGGCTCTCAGCTAGCCAGAAACAGACTCTGCCCTTTCCTGTTTCAAAGACCAGCTCCTCTGCCTGAGCTACTTCTCAGTTTCTGTTTCCTGATGGAGAGACACCCTCAACTCTTAAGCTTTTTGTAACAGCAAAGATGACAGGCATGTCCTGCATAATTGAACTCAAATAACCTTCCTGCTTCATTTTTAACCATTCTCTGGTTTCTCACCATGAAGGTATTTTTAAGGGAGGGATAACCTCTCCATCGGCCCCTAATTACACACTTACAGGGTAGAATGTATCATTTCTGTAATAACATTTAATAACGTTTCTTTAAAAATAGAAAGACAAAAAAGTAAGGCAATTCATAAGCAATGATTAATTAGCCATAGGTCTTTCTTTCCTCCTAAAAGTGTATAATAGGAAAATTTAGTTTTGAAAAGTGTAACATTTTATCCCTATCCCTGTAGTACCTACTCTAAGATAATCACTGCTAGCATTTTCTTGTGACTCTTCAGAAAATATATGTGGTAAGTTCGTATGTATACTTCTGTATTGCTTCCCTGTGTAACACTGATTCAGTATAACACTGTTTGCTTATGAAATATTGCTTTAAAATAATTCATATACTTATATCAATCTAAAACAGTTCACTCTTATTTTGCCCGCTGTGTGGATCTCTTATACAACCAGCCAACCACAGGAGGTTCTATACAGACCATATTCTTGAGTTTTAGTTTTCCATCCATAAAAGTTCTTATCCAGTGTGTACTTTCTCATGTATTACTAAGTTAACTTTGTTGTACAAAGTATTTGCCTCATATTTGTACCTTTTACTTTGTGTTTTAGCCAATAGTTTTGACCTAGAATCTCAAAGAAAAACTGTATATGGATTCTGTTGAAGCTGTTGCAAAGACATCAAAGCATATTTACCCTAATAAATGTTAAATTTAGTTTTACAGGAGTTCTTGTCAATTTCAAGTCAATGGTTGAGAAGAGAAAGAATAAAAAAGATAATTGTACGTAACAGTTAACTCAAAATGGGCCAGAGACCAAAATATAAGAGAAAGAAATCAATAATTTGGACTTCATTAAAATTAAAAACATTTGTATTTGAAAGGATTCCATCATGAGAGTAAAAAGCTCAGAGCTGAGGGTACAGCTCAATGATCAAGTGCTTGCCTAGAATGCACAGGACCTTAAATTTGATTCTTAGTGCTGTCAAAAAAAGGGGGGGAGATAATTTTTACAAGTCATGTATTTGATAAGGGACTCATATCGGAATATATAAAGAAATCCTAAGCTCAGAAAGATAACCCAATTCAAAAGTGACCGAGTGACTGTAATAGACATTTCTTCAGATAACTAAGTGGCCAAAAAGCATACAAAAGGATGCTCAGTGTTATCAGCTATTAGAGAAATGTGAATCAACACCGCAATGAAACACCACTTCACATTCACTAAAAAGACACAGAATAAGTATTGGGGAAGATTTGGAGAAGTTGGAATCCTTGTAGACTGTTGACGGAATGTAAAACAGCGCGGCACTTTGGGAACTTTACAACAGTTCCTTGAGCGGTAAACATGGGTTACCATGTGACCCTGCAGTTCCACTTCCGGGTGTGTCCCTGAGGAAGATGACAGTGGGTGTCCCTGCAAAACGTGGATGAGAGTGTTTGCAGAAGCATGATTCACAGTAACCAAAAAGTAGAAACATCCCACATGTTCACTTGCAGATTATCTGATAATCAAAATTCACACAGTGGAGTGTAAAAAGGAATGAAGTATTTATACATGCAACAACCCAGATAGCTCTTGAAAATATTATGTTACAAGAAAGTAGCCAGATGCAGAAAGCCATATACTGTATGAGTCCTTTTAAAGGAGCTGTCTAGAATGGGCAAATCCACACGGACAAGAAGAAAACCAACAGTATTGGAAGAAGACGGGAAAGCGACTGCCTGTGGTCATGGAGCTTCTATTCAGGGTGGTGAGGATGTTCTGGAATTAGGCACTGGGGATAAAATATATTAAATGAAAATACTGAAAACCGTGGGAGTATATATACATTTTTAAATGGCGAATTTATATGTGATGTATATCTCAACCTTTTAAAAGACAAAGATTAATGGAACTCAGAGGATGTTCTCTCCCATCTCAATATCTCTGTAGCCTGCCAGCACTGACCAGCAATTACCTAAAAAAGACATGGGAAATAAATTGGGGCCCGAGGCAACTGGTGACCATGGGGCTGAATGAGTCCCAAGGAACCTTTTCCCGTACGGGATGTTAGGAAGACATCTCCATAGGGGCTTTGGTATAACAACCCACAGAGTGATGATTCATTTCCAAGAAAGCATCCCT